CAGGCTCTGGGAGACAGCAAGCCCAATGTGAGGGTTGAACTCACGTACTGCAGGATCTTGACCTTAGCTGAAGATGAGCGTTCAACGGACCAAGCCACCCAGGCACCCCTGTTTTGTTTTGTTTTTAAATGAAATACTACAGATACAATTGAAGCCTCAGATGCTAGTCCCCCTCACTCTTCCCCCAAAGATGAACTCTATTCTGAATATGGTATTTATTATTCTCTTACATGTTGTGATACTTTTTTTAGGTATGTATGTGTTTTATTTAAACAGTACATACAGTTTTACATGTTTTTAAAAAAATTTTTTTGGGGGGGTGGGTAGGAGCAGAGAGAGGAGGACAGAGGATCCTAAGCGGGCTCCACGTTGCCAGCTCAGGCCCCACATGAACTTGTGAACAGAGATCATGACCCGAGCTGAAGTTGAATGCTTAACAGACTGAACCACCCAGGCGCCCCTAGTTTTACATGTTTTTAAATATTGTGTACGTAATATTATACTGTACATTTAATGTTTGTTAGTACTTGGTATGTAAACTTTGTCAGGTTAAGGAAGTTCTCTTTTATTTCTAGTTTGCGAAGTTTTTGTTGTTTATTTTTAAACCAATGGGTATTGAGTTTTGCCAAATGCCTTTTCTGCCATCTGTTGTGATGGTCTTATGGTTTTTCCTCCTTTTGCCTTTGTTAATGTGATGAATTCTATTAATAGACTTTCTTTTTTTTTTTTTAATTTATTTTTGAGAGAAAACGTAGGTGGGTGAAGGGCAGAGGGAGAGGGAGAGAGAGAGAGTCCTAAGCAGGCTCCACATTGTTAGCCTGGAGCCCAACACAGAGCTCAACGTGGGGTTTGAACCCACGAACTATGAGATCACGACCTTAGCCGAAGTTGGATGCTTGACTGACTAAGCCACCCAGTCGCCCCTCTATTAATAGACTTCCTAATGTTAAATTATTCTTGCATTCCAGGAGTAATTCCAACTTAGTTCTGATTTTCATTCCAGGTCTTAACTTGTGTGACTTCTGTAGCCCTTTGTAAATGTAAGGAAACTTATTAACTCATCTTTCTTGTTTCTCCTTACAGGCAGTTTTTCAGTGACATAATTACAAAGACCATGCAGGAGCTGCAGGAGTCAGGCACTTTCACCAGTCTCTTGGAAGCTTTGGGCAAAGAGAGGGAAAACAGAAAGCATTTCTATGATATCATTGCCAGGTCCAAGTAATATTAAGTTTATTTGCTGTACTGTATTTTAAAGTGCTATAAAATTTTTACCAGAAGTCCTTGATTTTTAAACCAAATCAAGTCTGTGCCTTCCAGGGAAGATAAATAGAACTCAGAAATTAAGGTTCTAATCTTGGGACAATAATTGAGATTTCTGGGCTTTGGTTATGTGTATCTACAATATGTCAAGAATATTCTTCCTATTATACAGTAATCTTTTTTTATTTTAATTCAAGTTAGTTTCACCCATCCCCCCCACCTCCCCTCTGGTAACCATAAGTTTGTTCTCCATAGTTAAGAATCTGCCTCTTGGTTTGTCTCTTTCTCCCTCTTTTTTTTTTTTCCTTTGCTTGTTTGTTTTGTTTCTTAAATGCCATGAGTGAAATCATATAATATTTGTCTTTCTCTGACTTATTTTGTTTAGCATTATACTCTCTAGCTCCAATGGCAAGATTTTGTTATTTTTATGGCCGAATAATATTCCCTTGTATATATACCACATATTTATCCATTTATATATCGATGGACACATGGGCTACTTTCATATCTTGGCTATTGTAAATAATGCTGCTATAAACATAGGGGCGCATGTATCCCTTCTGAATTAGAGTTTTTGTGTTCTTTGGGTAAATATCCAGTAGTGCTATTACTGGATCATAATATAGTTCTATTTTTAACTTTTTGAGAAACCTCCATAGGGTTTTCCACAGTGGCTGCATCAGTTCATATTCCCACCAACAGTGCAAGAGGTTAATTTTCTCCACATCCTTGGCCAACACCTGTTGTTTCTTGTGTTGTTGATTTCAGCCATTCTTACAGGTATGAAGTGATATCTCATTGTAGTTTTGATTTGCATTTCCCTGATGTTAAATGTTAATGAACATCTTTTCATGTGTCTATTGGCCATCTGGAAGTCTTCTTTGGAAAATGTTTGTTCGTGTCTTCTGCCCGTTTTTTCACTGGATTATTTGTTTTTTGGGTGATGAGTTTTATAAACTTTTTGTATGTTTTGGGTACCAACCCTTTATTGGATATGTCATTTGAAAATATCTTTTCCCATTCTGTAGGTTGCCTTTTGGTTTTGTTGATTGATTGATTTGCTTTTGTTTCCTTTGCCTTGGACCTATCTATGAAAAGTTGCTATAGCCAATGTCAGAGAAGTTACTGCCTGTGCTTTCTGTGCTCTCTTCTAGGATTTTTCTCGTTTCCAGTCTCACGTTTTGGTTTTTAATCCATTTTGAATTTGTTTTGGTAGATAGTGTAAAAAAGTGAGCCAGTTTCTTTCTCTTGCATGTTTTTGTCCAGTTTTCCCAAGGCCATTTGTTGAAGAGACTGTCTTTTTTCCATTGGGTATTCTTTTCCACTTTGTCAAAGATTGACTGACCATATAATTGTGGGTTTATTTCTGTTTTTATTCTGTATCTAGTTTTGTTCCATTACCATACTGTTTTGATTACTACAGCTTTGTAATATAACTTCAAGTCCAGAATTGTGATGCCTGCAGCTTTTCTTTTCTTTTTCAAGATTGCTTTGGCTATTTGGAGTCTTTTGATTCCATAAAAATGTTAGGATTGCTTCTTCTGGTTCTGTGAAAAATGCTATTGGAATTCTGACAAGGATTGCATTAAATATGTAGATTGCTTTGGGTAATATAGACATTTTCACAATATTTGTTCTTCCAATCCATGAGTATGGAATGTCTTCATTTCTTGGTGTTGTCTTCAATTTCTTTCATCAGTGTTTTATAGTTTTCAGAGTACAGATCTTTCACCTCTTTGGTTAGGTTTATTCCTAGGCATCTCATATTTTAGGTTCAATTGTAAATGGGATTGTTTTATTAATTTCTGTTTCTGTTGTTTCATTACTGGCATATAGAAATGCAACAGATTTCTGTACATTGAGTTTGTATCCTGCCACTTTACTAAATTTTTTGTAAATTTAGTAGTTTTTTGGTGTAGTCTTTTGGTTTTTCTGTATAGTATTATGTCATCTGCAAAGAGTGAAAGTTTTACTTCTTCCTTACTGATTTGGATGTCTTTACAGTAATTTTTCTTAAGACTGAATTCACTGCAAATTCCTGAACAATAGCAGGTAATCATGAAAAGCATGCCAAGGGAAGTTTTCTTTTTCAGGGCCTTTGAACTAATTCCAAAGAGTTTCATACCTTAAGAAATTGAACACAATCAGATGATTTTGGGACCAAGATAAAATTCTTATATGAAGGCTGAGTACTCAGAATGAGAGTGTTTATCTTGTTTGTATAGGTGAAATTGTTTTCCTTGAGTTATTTTCTCTTCCTTTGTACCTTAGTATTGGTAATAAATTCTGTACTAGGGATTTTTTTTTTTTTGAGAGAGAGAGAGAGAGAGAGAGAGAGAGAGAGCGACCATATACATGCAAACAGGGGAGAGGGAGAGAGAGGGAGAGAGAATCCCAAGCAGGCTCCACAGGGCTTCATCTCATGATCTGAGCTGAAATCAAGAGTGGGGCACTTAACCTACTGAGCCATCCAGACGTCCCTGTACTAGGGATATTTTGACAGTTAGATTAATTAACACATGTACAGACTTAGGATAGTTCCTGGAACATAGTAAGTGCCTAATAATAATAACAGCTACTATTATGGACTTAACATTGTAAGTACATTGCTGGTGGGAGAATTAATTGGTATAATTTGTAAAAATGATTTATTTATGAAAAATACATATACCTAATTTCAATTTTATAATATTCACTATTATTTATGTACTATTCCATAATTTATTTAACCATTCCTTGAATTTAACATTTAGGTTGTTTCCAAATTTTTGTTTTAGCAAATGATGTGTTAGTGTGTTTCTTTGTCTGATCTATTATTATTCCATGAAGTTCAGTCACTACATGTGGAATTACAGAATCAAAGATATAGTCTATAGTTTAATGGATGATATTATAAATCTATTTAAAGTATTGTTTACAGAGTTATAACATGGGGGAAATGTTTATATCACAATTTTTTTTTTTTGAGAAAGAGAGAGAGAATGCAAGTGGGGGAGGAGCAGAGGGAGAGGGAGAGAGAATCCCAAACAGGCTCCACACCAGCGTGGAGCCCAGCACGGAGCTCAATCTCACGACCATGAGATTATGACCTGAGCTGAAATCAAGAGTTGGACACTTAACCCACTGAGCCACCCAGGTACCTCTATGTCACAATTTTAAATAGAAAACGAAAGACTGGAAATAATATAGTATTATCACATCTCTATAATAAAACTGAAAAAAAAATGCGTAGAAAATGATAACTGGAGGGGTACCTGGGTGGCTCTGACTTTGGTTTGTGAGTTCGAGCCCGGTAATTGGGCTCTCTTCTGTCAGTACAAAGCCTGCTTTGGATCCTCTGCCCCTGTCTCACTCCCTCTCCCTGCCTATTCTCTCTCTCTCTCAAAATAAACTTAAAAAAAAAAAGAAAGAAAATGAGAACTGGAGGCTCCTGGTTCAGTCAGTATATGTAAATACATTCAAATTATTTGTTGTAGCATAATGGTAAAAATCTAGAAATAGCGTAAGTGTCCTTTAGTAAAGGAGTTCTTGAGTGATTGTTAATGTTAGGAAATAAGAAACATGCAGCTATTAAAAAGAATAAATTAGAGCTCTATGATTGATCGAGAGGAATGTTCTTCATATATAGATAAGTGAAAAAATTATACTATTATGTGTGTAACATGACTCATTAAAAAAAAACTCATCCATATATGTAAGAGCACAAGGAAAGATGCGGAAGGATATATATCAAAAGACTTAACATTGATTACTTCATAAGAGTGAATCGGGAGGGAGAAGGCAGATGGCAGATTATCCATCTTTTCCTGTAAGCGCCTATTCACTTTTGAAATATTACAGTGTTGCACTTATTACTTAATAATTTTTTAAAAAGCTAATCAAGTAAGAAAAATAAAGGGGCGCCTGGGTGGCTCACTTGGTTAAGTGTCCGACTTCTGCTTGGGTCATGATCTCCTGGTTCTGAGTTGGAGCCCCGCATCAGGCTCTGTGCTGGCAGCTCAGAGCCTGGAACCTGCTTTGGATTCTGTGTCTCCCTCTCTGTTTCTCCCCTGCTTCCACTCTGTCTCTCTCTGTCTCTCTCTCAAAGATTAAAAAAAATTTTTTTTAATTTAAAAAAAGGGTTTGGGTGGCAGGGGCTCTGTTGTTCTGACTTCAGCCAGGCTCACGATCTCAAGGGTCCCTGAGTTCAAGAGCCTCACCAGGCTCTGGGCTGATGGCTGTCTAGAGCCTGAGCCTGTTTCCCGATTCTCTGTGTCTCCTCTCTCTCTGCCCTCTCCCATCCATGCTCTGTCTCTTCTGGTCCCAAAAAATAAATAAAATGTTGAAAAAAAAAAAAAAAGCAGTAAGAAAACACAAAACAAAAAACAAAAAACCAGTAAGAAAAATAAAAAAGAAATATGTACCACTATTTGGGAAGGAGTAAATTATCTCAATGTAGACAGTTTACCAGTGATTGATTTTACATATGTGATTATATATAATAATTTCTTCTTTTAATTTTTCTTCCAATTAGATAGGCATCATTTTGGATTTACTTAAATTGGAAAATTATATATAGATTTGGGCAAATCAGTTACATATTGTTTAGTATTTTAACTACTGTGTGATTGGCACTTTTATCACATTTAGTGATGGATATAAGACAGACAAGATTTTCTATTTAGTTCCTTGAATAAGAGCTTTATTGAGATAAAATTTATATGCTGTTAAAGAAATTATTCAGACACATGTCAAAATGGTAATGAAGACTTTATTCAGGATTATTGTAATAGGGAGAGAGATTAGGCTCAACTCTGAAGAGGGGGTCAGTGGATAAAAAATTACTAAGAGACATAAAGGGTAGAGGATTCTTGCTAAACTAATTTAACAGGATTCTTACTGAAAGCAGGCTAAAGGTTTAGATATCAAGGGTGAGGGATGAGGAATTTGATCAAAATCCAGGGAGATCAGAT